CATTAATTATTAAATATTTCGTGCATGATTGGTTTGGAAAAATACATGATAATAAAATCGATGAACTTACATAAAACTTATATTACTATATCATAAGTCTATTATAAAAATTTAATTGCCTTATCATAAACTTTTACACTATTTATAAATTGAGTGCATTAGCAAATAAATTTTATTTTAATAATTAAATGTAAATTAAGTTTGTTGTTTTGTTTTCCTTCTTCGTTAATAATACAATAAATACCTTCGTTACTCTTCGTTATATCTGAAGAAACTATAATTTAAATATTTCTAAGAAATTCAAGGATTTTTTTTAAAAGCTTAAGTTTTCTATCAACTCTGTTTAAAAAAATAGGATAATCTTCAGTGTGCTCAAAAAAATTTTCTAACGTCTCTAGCTATCACAAATTTATTGAAAATTGTCGTATTAATTATATTCCTATATTATAGTAATCACACAAAAGTTTAAATCACAATAAGCGATAGAAAAAAATTAAGAGACCAATTAGTGGAAGGACGCGTTATCGAACGCAGACCTACAAAAAATGCCTTTCGGAATTAATATAGGATGACGAGTCCTTCGTTAAAGTTCTTAACAATATTTTTACTCTTAATCAGAGGATTCTTATACATTTTGTTTTAAACCTTAATCCCTCTAAAATATACAAAATTGTGGTGCTTATTTTATGAAAACTAAAAAAATATACAATATTAAAAAATTAAGGCATGTTGCTGGAACTGCCAAGGTTCACACTTATCTCTTTAATATAGTTGTTATGTCACATGTTATGACAAGGAAACAATATTTAGTTGTTTTAATTCACACAAAAAAATCTAAATGACTAATAAATACGGTTCAATCGTTTTTATTACTTTTTCAGAATATCAATAAATACCGTTATCATTCGATATTATTCTGTTAAACACTCGGTAGCTCTACTTACGAGTAATTTGGCCATTGTTGCGAATATTTGTTGATCAAGGCTGTCAAGGGGGATCAGTATATTATTAAAAATTAAAAACTTAGGTATATAATAGTAATGTAAGAACTAGAACAGGAGTCAGGCAAGCGCGCGGCTTCGGCCGCAACGTAGGCAAGCCTGAGCGAAAACTAGGAGCACATTGAGTACGTCACTCGCTTTTATAAACTTTTTGCCCTAGTTGTGTCGCACTGGGCCCCGCAAGCGTTTTGCGTTTTTTCTTATTCCCTGCCTGCGTATAGTCAGGTTCCAACGACAAATTCAAGTGTAATGAGGAGATACAAGGAAAAAAAAAAAAAAAGAGAAGGAAAAATCGCAACCGAGTGTCCAAATGAACGTTCCCTTAAGCGGTGCAAAGAGGAGTTAACAGTCGCCAACGACATTGCTTGCTATATGGGACTAATGATGCAACTGGCGTGTCTCGCCCATACAAGTTTCTGATTAGATGTGAATAAAAGTCAAGTTTGGCAAAGTGTTGGGGAGTGAAGCCTCTTACTTTATGTGTACTGTTTGTAAGGGTCAAACATTTGTACGGTCTTAGGGTGCATCAACTATTTTGACCACGTAAGGCACTTTTTGTACAGAAGGCATTTTTCTAAATTAATATTTTAATACTTTTTACATAGTTTTTTGTAAATTATCGCTATTTTTATGAGAAATTTTCATCTCATACCCCTACTGTAAGCATTGCTTTTTTCCCTACTTTTAGGAAAAATCAGCTGTATCTTCGGTGTTAAAAAACACGTTTGCTACTTAACAGAGAGAGTATATAATCGTTCTTTATGTGATACTACTTCAAGCTAACTGAAAGAGCTTCTATACAAAAGTCATGAAAATTATTTCATACTAAGCAATAAATGTGGCTATTACTGTGAAGACTGTATTTTTTAACCACACGAAAATAGAAGGAAAAATTTGTATATTTGACGTTGTAAGAAAATAGTAGTTTTCGTCGGATAAGTGCCTTCGCCTCTGGGAATATTCTGCGGCCCGAAGGTTCTGCGAAGCAGGCCCGAGGGTTTGTAAGGTTGCCACGGAGGGATGGAGCTTATGTGGCGAATGCTATTTTTCCTACCAAGGGCACACCAGCCTCTCAAAAACGCCCGAGGTAAGAAAAAATTTTTTCCGCCTTGGAAAGGCAAGTTCTCAGCAGAAGACATTACAAAAATTTTCTTTTAATCAGTAAATGTTATTTTTATCTGAAATTTTATATTGCAGAGTAATAACATCGTTAGTTTTTCTTTACTAACACCATAAACTATTTATTTTGTCAATTTAAATAATTCAAAGCTAAAAAAAAACAAAATGAAATGAAGATCACGACAAACATTACACTATTAAAAAAAAGACATATACTTATTCATATGAAGTCTTAAAAGTACTAATAGAAGTCTTTTCATCAAAAATGTAAGAGCTAAAAATCATATAGAGCAAAGAGATTTTTATTGACAAACATCTGCAAGTAAACAATAAGTAAAGAAAAAGCATTTATTGAAAACTAAGTTTACGTAGGTTTCATCTAGTTTGAATGTTTAAGTAAAAACGCTTAGATATTTGCTTTCTTGTAAAATATTTGCAAAGATTGTATCCATGGTAATCTATCATTCTGATCTTTTGCAATCATATGAATATAACAATAAATAGTCGCACTTTTTATATTGTACTTTNACTAATACCAAACTTTTTCTGTGAGGAATTTATATTAATAAGACGCAAAAAAATTTTTTTTTTCATCTACAAAATAAAATAGCGAACAAAAAATCTTACATAGAAAACAAACACCAACAAACTTTTTTTTTATTACTCAAAAAATTTGAAGAATTCAGTATCTGCCTTTGTGCCTTTCACCCACGATTAATCGGTTACTTGATTCAAACCTAAGTGATTATACATCCACATCTTATCATATACTGTTGTAATATTTTTAAAAAACGTTACTTAAGTATTAGATGATTAATTCTCATAATAAATAACGTAGAACACACTGTAATTACTGTAAATTATAGAATTCTGATATCAAAATTGTAAGCCCCCTATTGACTGTTTTTTATTGTTAACATATATTGGTTATAGAAAACATTTTTTTTCAATTTTTAAAAATTTTCTAATGATTATTGGCTTACGATAAAATAAAATTTCAGAAGCACGAAAAAACTTCAAGTTAATCGTGAAGTTACAAACACAATTTTCATATGAACTAGAAGAGTTATTGTTTTTGCCTTCATATCATATCATAAGGGAAAGTAGTGTCGTACTTTTATTGCGTCAATCGATGCTGTTGACAAACTTTAACTGCATACCAGAGCAAGTAGTTGGCCCCGAGAGCGCTTAGACCTTACTAACTTTGCAGCCGGCTTAATGGGCTTGTAAACGCTTCGAGAATACCAATAGAAAACCAAGCAGACAGACACTACTCTGGATTTGGTAGCGACTACTGTCGCAAAAAGGCTTCTCGTTTTAGATCTCCAAGGGATAATTAATCCCAGAAACGGATTATTTTTATCGGCGTTGCGAAACTTCGATGGAATACCATTTTTTTTTCTAACGATGATTGATCTTTTTTTTGTCTCTAGAATGAAGCAATTTCATAGTAGTGTGTCGTCAGGATTGTATTTTCTTGAGTATCATAAGGTAAGGTAGTGAACAAATAAACTACACCTTTTTTTTTTAATCGCAAAAGTGAAACTACAAATTCAATTTGCGTTGTAAATTCCCTATTAATAAAATAATTCTACAAAAATGACTTACGTTTGAATTATAATTTTAAAGATTTTCGAAGTGTGATCACCGTTTTTCAAAGGTTTTACCAAGCTTCACTTTCCTCTTCATGATGTTAATGTATAGAGTAATTATTTCCCTTGTAAATTTCTTTCCAAACTTTTGTCACATTTATCTTATCAGGATGCTGCTCTATATATTGATGGAGTTTCTCCGTAGCCAAGTATTTTTTTATTTTCTTAAAATTTTTTTACGAATACTTTACATCTAAACTCCCTTGGATGTGCTGCTTTATAAATGAAACCATAATTTTGTTTATAAAAATGAAAATTTCGCAATAAATCTAGTACGTTCAAGGGCGAAAAAAATGAAGATAGAAAAGAGTTTAACAGAGTGGTAAGTTCAATAAGACAAATGCAAAAATTAGAGAAAAATGATCACCACCGATGAGTTGACTCATAGATTCCCCAAACTTCTAATTCACCCCTACTTTTTAATTACCATTGTTTGTTTTGATACTGTAACTTTTTTTACTACAGTTTGGTATTTTATTCTTTTATTTTATGTTTTTTTTTAATTAATAGTAAACTATTATTTTAAGCTCTTTAATAACTTTCGTTACTGCTCTGAATATTCTTACCTTTAAGTGAATTTATTAACAAACAAATCATCAATGATTTTGTCATGTTTTAATTTTACCATTGACCTAAGTAAATGTATTTTTTTGTCCAAATTAGAAAGTGTTTATAGGAGTAGTGCTAGCTGTAGCTCGCTTATTCCAATAAAATAGGTAAGCCACAGCTAGCACTGTCATAACAAGTTATGACTCAGAATAATGCTATTGTTAAAGTATAATTCAACAAAATATTGTTTCTGTAAGTTATAACTCTTTTTCATATGTAATAAATCATGATTTTATTATTTTATAATATTTAAATCATTAGTAAGTAATCATTGAAGTAAAATTTTATATTTATTTACAAGTTGTAAGAACATCCTCAAAGAAAACGTGTTTATAATTAAAAAATTCCTTCCTTTTTTTCCCAGTTGATTTTTAAAATTTTTCCTTTAACTCTATCCTCTGCTAAGATTTTTTTTAAGTTCCATAATTTTCAACTTTGTTTTGTCTTAATTTACTTATTATATAGTTTCTTATATTACAAACAGATTTTTCTTTGGTTATTCTATAATTTTTTTTTCAGTATACATGACTCAAAACTTATATATTTATGACAAAGAGGTTTGGACAATAAAGTTTACATCAGTACATTAGTATAAAATATTTATTAATAAGGCAGTATATAATAGTAGTGCTGAGCACTTCCCAGAGCCAGGGCCAGAGGCTAACTGGCTACCAATTACATCGTACATACTTGTAACTTACTCATGATAACATTATTACAAAAATCTTATCCTGACTCTTCCAAAGTAGTTCAACTTTTTCATGCATAACATAGTCATTTTTGCAACTTTTTCCATATTAAATAATACATAGGCATGAACAATTTTTATGGTATAAGAAAGTAATATTACATGCAAAAAAATTTACAATTAACTGTAAAAGAAAAATTAATAGAATACATTCTTCTTCTAATGTTAGTCTATCATAAAATTCCAGTCTTTTAAGCTTTCAAACAATAAATTTTTAGGAAAAATGTCATACATTGAATAAAAATTATTTTTGAAGTGCTTATTTAATTATTACACAAATATTGACTATCATTATGAGTGGATATAACATTATTAGAATAACATTGGTCATAGTGCTTTAATATAACAACAGTTTCTATATTCTCTTTCAGTCACATTTAAGACATAATAGTTAATTGATAAAACATTAGGTTTTACATATAAAAATATTAAAAATTTTTTCATAGACGTTTTAGGTACAAAAATAAATTAAAATTTTTACGAATGATTACATCATATTTCAAAAATCATAAAAATATTATTTACCAATGGACTATACAGCATTCTGTAAACGTTGTAGATTTTCAACTTCATATTTGATCCATTTAGCTGATCTTGTTGTTCCCTTAAAACGTGATTGGCATCCTTCATTTATTAAATTCATTATTGGCTGTATATCTACCATTAATATGAATTTGGATTCGAAAACGTTTAGTAAGTCAACCAGAAGTCCTACGGAAGCCTGAATATTTTCATCTGAATGTCTACAATCTTCAGATATTGTCTTTATGAATTCTAAAATACTTGGAACAATTGGTTCAACTAGGACTGCTTTATGATTTGGGACTGATCCAGTACCACAAAGTCCCTGAACGATTCCTGTATAAGCCTGGAGTATTCCTGTTCTCAACTCATTCAAATAATCAACCATATCACAATCTGTAGTATCGATAGCTGTATGTGATGTTTGCACTAGTACATGTGAGACCACATTAAGATATTTTTCAAATTCTGATCCAATGTTGGAAGCGATATCAAGAAAAGAAGAACATATTTGTGGTTTGACTGAGTAATAAACGGCATCGTCACTAGTAAGGATCTCTAGCAATAGAGTCATTATTTCATCGCAATATGGAAGCATCTTACTTTTTAAGGCACGAAAACTTTCTCTGATAAAATCAAGAGCTCTGGTACAAACTTGAGGCTTTGTCTGATTTTTAAGTCCAATACAATAAAAAAGTTTGAATACTTCAAAATATTTCATAAACTTTTCACCCAAAATTTCTACAAGTGTAGTTATTATCGTGAAAGCTTCTTCGAGAACATCTCCTGGTTTACATGAACTTGACTTCAAGATAGATACCAATATACTTACTATCGTATCTGAAATTTGACAAACATCGTCAACAGAAATTTTCTTTAAAATCGATTGCAAAGTATTGCATAAAAGTACTTGAATATTAATACATTGTACTTGATCAGAATAGTTTTGGACGTAAGGTTCCACTTGAATAACCTGTTGAAGTCGTTCTATTATGACCATTATTGTATTTCGTACAGTAACGTAACAATCTCTAGGCGACCCCCTAATGATTTCTATCATTGCATTGTAAGCTAAAGATCTTAAATATGTAGGTCCATCAGAGTGATTAGTTATTTCTAACAATTGCTGAATTATTGTGTTAAAGTAGTCGGACATGAAGTATGTTTCAGACTGATCACCAGTTTCATCGCTGTTGTCAAATTTATGACTCACCCTTGCGAGGAGAATGAGAACTTTACAAACTTTTTCAGCTATACTAGGCTCTGCTTTTAAGCCATTGATCAATGAATCTAATACAGATTTCAAGTATATTTTATTAATAGCAACCTCGTGAACTGTCTTAATAACTCTTCCTAGAGTCCATGCAGCTGTACATCTAATGGAAACGCTACTATCGTACATCAATTCGATCAAATTTGGCATGATTTGTTCCACAACAAGTCTTGTACAGTGATATTCTGGACCCTTCAGAATACAACCGAAGGCTATTAAAGCAGCGTTACGGTAATGACAATCAGAATTTTTAAAATGGTATTCTACAAAAGGAAAAATACATGGAAAAATAACATTTCCACAACAAGAAGCCAGTGACTTCAAACAATCGCATACTGCTTTAGAAATCGAATTATTTTTATGGTCTAAATCAACTTGATCAACTATTTTTTGTGTCAGCACAGGAACCAAGTACTGCAAAGCTCCTTTGGCATAGTGTCTTGATATACTCGAAAGAGAAAGATCATCTTCAAAAATTTCACTGCCTTCCTTCGATAAGCTTAATTCTTCTTCAGCAACACTATTCCAGAATACAATTCCATGTAACGCAACCTCATCAATATTGGATTTCATTGCTTCTAAAGTAATCTAAAAAAAAAAAAAAAAAAAATTTGGCACAATGTATGTTCGAACGATAATCCTAGAAAAATTAATTAAGAATTTTAATGGTGAAATTTTTTATCAATGCTTTCATTTATTGATCTTAAGTACCTTAAGACTATTAAAATAGATCTTTTATAACAGTATGAATCTGCACACAAGTGGGCTGTCAAGTATTTTCACTTATCTATTCTTATGACACTTATTTTCTTGATAAATTACTTTATCATAATCATTAACAAGAGACACATTTTGTTTTACTAGTAACTATCGCAATTTATTTATTTTTTTTTTTTCACGATTTTTAATATTCGTTCTTTTTAGTAATGCCTGCCAATGAATTTTATATAGTACATCAAAAAACTATACTTAGAATGTTAGCATTTAAAATGAGATAAATACTTTGTTGGTACTAAAAATGTCTGCAGTCAACTTTTTGTAACCTTTTTTAGTAAAGTAATTCCAAAGTGTTGATAACTGATTTTTAAAATTAAATTAGTATAAAGTATAACTTACCCCAAGTAGTGCTTGTGCCATGTACGGTTCCATATACTCATAGTAAAGTATAACAATCTCAGTAAGACATTGTAAAGAAGCTACTTTTATTTCTATATCTGTTGATTGTGTCGTTTGACAAACAACTTCCATTATGAAATTTCTTTCTGACTGAAAAATAAAAAAAAAAAGGTGAAGTAAATCTTTTACGGCTTTCAATCAGAATATGACGTTATTTTAATAGCAACATAGTATAAAAGCCTGATTAAATGAAATACAATTTGCGAGAAAATGAAACCACTCTTATTGTTATTTAACTTAACTGGTTGAAAAAAAAGTGTTGCATGGTGATTTATAGCCCCTATCATTACATCATTGTGGTGTTGTTCAACAGTCTTATGCACTTTAGTGTGCTTACGTTTACTTGGATGAAAAGATATTTGCTAAATTAATTTTATACATGAAATATTATATTTTCATTAAAAAATGCCACTCTGAACATTCTTCCTGCATTGAAGGATCTTGCAAACATTATATATGTATGTACCTATTTTAATGTACGTAAGTCGATAAGTCGCAAAATATAAGTATAACAAAAAAAGTTGATCTCAAGTGGGGTCATTTTACAGATGCCTTTATTAGGAGAAAGGCTTATTTTGTTATGAAAGTATTTCTGATTATTGTTAGCTATAAAAATTAATGAAATAATAATCTTAATCATTTATGTCACTGAATAAAATAAGAAAAATCATAATGTATTCGATTTTATCTATCTTAAGAGTAGAAAAACAATTGTATTCATAAAAAGTTGATGCCTTACTTTATACTTTTTTAACGAAAGGAGGGTTTAGTGAGATACCATTTGTCAGCTTTATCAAAATAGTTCAATAAACAGCTGTCGATCTATTAGGTTCTAAATTAAAAAATTTCACCTAATATTGTTTCAGTAACTCAAGTATCCACAAAGGCTGCAGTAAACATCGGTACAATAGGGGTAAACGGTACAGTTGTTGACCCCCCGATAGTGATTGACCGCCACATGCATTTTTAAATGGAGCATTTATATATAGATATACAAATTATACAGGGGTCAATCACTACCTTAAGGTGTCAATAACTGTACCGTTTACCCCTACGCAACTTCAATCCGTGTAAGTAAATTATAAGAAGAAACGTACCTCGATTTCAAAGTTACTTTCTGCAAATTCAAGTGAATTGATGAGAGCGTTTGTAGCAGATAAACGTAAACGCATCGATGTGTCAGATCCTCTCATATTATTGACAATAGCTGTAAGGATCTGATTTGACTGAGAAAATACAGCATCACATTTTATTTCTTCACAAGTATATCCTATCGCGTCAAGAGTCGCTTCCTTCACTCTTTCAGTGCTATTCGGATTAGTTGCATTATTTACCAATAGTGGAATCAGTTCTTGCCATTGATCGACTAAGAGCTCAGCAGCAGCTACGTGTGCTATGCACAGCGCAACTGAACTTGGTCGATTCGTTTCCGTGCCCAAGGCTTCTAATAACTGAATTCAAAGTCCAATTGTAAGGTTAAAAAAATTGGTACTAGTGAATGGTATGTCATCATTAAAAAAATTTTTAACTATTTAGAAGTAAAGGTTTAGTCTATAGTACACTATATACGTATGGTATCATACAAAACTCCTTAATTGTGAATATAACTGATCCATAATAATACTGTTGCCTTATGAGCTTTAATCATGCATGCATCAATAAAATACTCACATTTTTTTTTACGTATTCTCTTGTATCCGTGGGGAATGTAAGCCATCTTCGTCGATATTGCTGTTTTAGTTTGAACTCGTTAGAGCAAAGCTGATTTTTTAACTGGAAACTTGCTGCCATTCGAGCATTAGTGCTTGCAGCTGTGCTTACGATAACTTCACTCATAGTTTTAACAAACTCATGCTAAAATATAAAATAAGTTTAATTATTTAAATTTTATAGCTTCGATACTTCTTATAAGTTAATATTGTGTGATGGAATGAAGTTTTGGGTTTACTTTTTTCGATTAAGTTATGAAAAATGTTATCGAATCTAAAAAAAAAAAGAAAAATATGAGCTGATGTATCCTTTTAATCAACGTAAAAAATGTAAAAAAAATTAATTTCAAATAGTTTATATATACTATCATCTTGCTTAATTCGATTTATTCGATTTTATAAGCACATAAATCAAATATTTAAGAGGTTTAAGCAATCATCATTCACTATTTTAAATAAAATCTCGATTGGACAAATATCCCGTTTCCTGCTAAAGCACCGAATTTTGGACACTGATAACACAGCACTGAAAAAAATTTATTGTTTAAACAGACCAGATAACTATTTGCTATTCAGAGGTTTTTTAGGATAAAAAAGATCGCTAATTTTTATTACCAAATTTAAATCAGCAAATAAATATGGGAAATGACTAGTATTGCATGGTGTAAGGCTCACCAATTAAAATACATAACAAGACTTCATTAAATCATCACTAACGTTAACAATAGTCTTTATGTATTAGATAGTCATGTAATAAGTATTTTTTAAATAATTAACTGTTTGAGTTAACAAATATTTACCAGATTAGACCGTGCAGCATGATGCAAAAAGTTTTGAGCGATTTCTAGTTCAACATTATCTGTAAAAAAAGTTACCATAATTAGTAAGTGTTATGAATATCGACGACCATTTTTATTTGTATTTCCTAATGTAAACTTGATGATGCACAAATCAACTTTTACTTATATCTTGTATGGTTTAAGGAACGGTTAAAATTATAACATGCATGTTAATCAATTTACAAATAGATTTTGATTCAACTTTTCACCTTAATATATACACGAAAAAAATACTATTCTAGTGAAAGATGTCCATAACAAATTTCAAAAAAATTCATGATTTGCTCAAAAAGAAATATACTTAGGTATTAAATTCTATGCAAAGATTAATATCTTAAAACAAATACAAAGTTGACAACTTATTATAAAATTTAAATAAAAAAATATGTATANAAAAAAAAAACTGATACATAATGAAACCCAGTGGCAGAAATTATTAACAAAGACCACAACTTTTGTTCATATCTTTACATTCTGTTAACACGAATGCTTGTTAGTTTTGATGTGTAGTATTTAAAACAAAATTATCTCTTATGTATACAGTCTAAGCCCCTGGTATACTTTGTGACAAAGGGTTCTTATCAGTGTTTTGACGAACTAGTGTGGAAAATATTTTTCTTTTGAGTTTGATATCTGCACTTTCTACGTATTACTTACAGTTACGTTCTATTAAAGTACTGTCTGGAATATTTAGAAATCGGTTTGAAGTCAACTTTTTCAGTGTGATTTCTATTTTATTAGAAAATCTAACTAAAAAATATAGAGTTAAAAAAAATTTGGTCCGTGATAACCTACCTATTTAACATATTTGAATGATAGTATTCTGTAATCTGAATTTATGGATTTAATATTTCAGCTACATCAATATGAAAAAAAAAAACACGAAAGAGACATCAACAAAAATGATGACAAATACATCTTCTTAAAATAAATACGAAAACAAAAAAGCATATCACCTGGCAATACTGTTTTTTCAAGAACTTGTATAAGCTGCACTGTTGTTGGATTCATCATATTAAAATTTTTTCAATTAACTTTTTTAATATACATGTATATACTTTTATTGGCGAATCAAAAGCAGCTGTACAAAACTTTAACTTCTGTTGCTTTGAACGGCGTTTGTTAAAACTAATTATCTCCCTACTATGCTGACCCGACGTATACACAACAAAAAGATATTTTCGGATAGGTACAATGAACAGTTACTCGCGTTTAGTATTACTGACAATAAATTAACGCTTACACCAAACTATCAACTTGTACGTACTGGTAGTGAAACTAAATGCCTCGAACTTCATATCATGCCTATCTAAAAATATATTTTAGTATAGTGTACATGAATCAGCTACGTTCAGGTAATGTTGTGTGTTCACTATAGGCTGCAGTGTAAGTAGACACCAACCATCACGGAAAGACCTTTTTCGTTTAAAATCCCCTACCACAAGCAGTTATGAGTTTTTCAGTACGTAGTAAGGATATTACCCGTACTACGATCACGAGTCAGAATTATCATGGTAGGTGTTTTTCGCCTACCAATTTTTTTCCAGCAATGCAAATTAGCGCATGCGCAGAAGAGTCTTTCAACTCTTGCTACATGAGTGTAAGTATGCATATGTACACTCGAGGCACTTTATATCTGTCGGAACGATTGGTCTAAATACGGTCAATGATGTCCTGTAACCTATAATATAACAAAGACGTACTGTCACTTAACAGGTAATTTTTTATCGTTCCGACAAATATAAAGTGCCTCGAGTGTACGTTCTTGCTTTGTTGATACACTTTGTTAGGTTAGAACATTATGTATGTACTTTTTAGTACATCGGATAGTGTTGACTATATCCACTTATTACGATGACTTATAATTAAAGTTTAGTAAATAAAGAAAAAGATTCACGTTTGTTCATAATTAACTACTCCTCACGCAATTAAAGAAAGGAATAATGCACGATAATACACTGTCATGTATATATATTAGTGATTGACCGCCACATGCATTTTTAAATGGAGCATTTATATATAGATATACAAATTATACAGGGGTCAATCACTACCTTAAGGTGTCAATAANATCCACTTATTACGATGACTTATAATTAAAGTTTCGTAAATGAAGAAAAAGATTCACGTTTGCTCATAATTAACTACCCCTCACGCAATTAAAGAAAGAAATAACGCACGATAATATACTGTCACGTGTATATATATATATATCGGCGAATTTGACGTACTGCTCACTCTCTGCACATGCCACTGATTTTTCGAAGCTACCGTACCGTTGGTAGGCGAAAAACACCTACCACAGCCACTGAATACGCACACTTGGTATGAATTTTGTCGTGACTAACGTGGGGCTAGAAATTTCAATTACTATAGACTGGCGTGAAAGGTTACTGGTCTGACATTAATACAATCTAGTTAGTTAATTACTTGATATTAAAAATCGTGGTCAGGGATTTTCAACGAAAAAGGTCTTCAAAGCAAAACTGCCGTATACAGCTTAAGGGTATTTTCAATTGAGGGTAGCTTGAATGCAGGGCCGTAACGTTAGCGGAATCTTAATCTGTCCATCCGGTTTGTCAGAACACGGTCAATAATGCTCATAAACTATATAATAACCCACGAGTGATGTGAGATCCGTAACATTTAATTGACAAGCTGGGTGAATAGATCAATATTTTACTAACTGTACAGTTGGGATTCTCAACGTTGTGTTTTAATGCTAACTTTACACTTTAATGGCCAAAAACACTTTTTTTTATCGTTTTAAACAGTTTACTTCCTTCTTGTACATCATTATTAAAATTCAGATAAAAATATGCTAGACAAAAAAATTGTATTTCAATGAGATCTACAACGCAAATAACTTTAATAACAAGTGCTTAAAGTTATGTAAAAAACTGAGTTCTTACATGTAAGGCAGGACTGTTGAATTTATTACCAAAGCAAAAAGTGTTATTTCGTTATGCATCATGTAATGATATAAAATTGTGAAATTTCAGAAATGCTGTTTAACACTGTTTGTTATTAAATTAATAACCCATAACAAAAAAAATAAATGGTACTCTACATTCAATTTTAGAGTAGTTTAAGCTTTAAACTTCGCGCCCATGAAAGGTCCGATATCGACGTTACTGACTGAGTCGACGAGTTACTTTTGTTTAGTCGTTTACGCCTCTGTCTGTCGAATGAACAAAACTTTTAGTTTTTAATTCACATGAAAAAACTTTCATTCAAAAAGAGCAATTTAAAGACTGATAAAAAGAGTTTTTTTTTTTTTTTTTATTTTTTTTTTTTTTTAATACTGTTTTTTTTTAGAAAATTCTTTACTTATATTCTATGGAAAATTATTACTTAAAATTTATTAGAAAGTAGACTTTATAGGTCCTAATAATCACACCGAATTTCAACGAAGTCGTACGTAAAAACTTTGCAAAACATTAAATAATGTAAAAAACGCCCTTCTGAAAAACGGCCATAAAAAGTTGTACAATATGGTAATTTTTTAAATACGCTTTGTTTCTCATTAGTTACTCTTTAAAATAGTTGAACACCGTTCTTCTTTCTCGAAAGAAAAGTAAAAAAAAAGTCATGAATTAAAAAAAAAAAACAGTCTTGTAATTCAGCCAAAAAATACAGTAATGGGCTCTCGTACTCTGAAAGTGGCTATGCACCTCATTCCGTACAAATGAGTGGCTTTCACTTTTTAAAAACATTTTCATACCTTAAAATAAAAACATAGTTGTACAGAAATCCATTGAAACTATGAACAACTTGTTAAATTATAATAACAACATAATAGCATGATAATTATAATAATAAAAAAAAAAATAATAATAATAGTAAAGATAATAACAGTTGTGTTTCACATATGTTGCTTTCAACTTTTTTTTCATGTTTTGTAATTATAACCGTTTGTCTTTTTGTTCTACCAATTTTTCGTCTTCATCTTTTATCTAAACTTTAATCGTTTTTTGACTTTTTTATTGTCAAGCTGAATACGGATCTGCATACAAACAAAAAGTGTTACGTATGACTTTATTATCCAATAAATCGCTCTGTTCTTTGAAATTTCAAATGTACTAAGAAACTCGGATATAGACACAATTTGCCAGGCGATACCTCGAAAACCTGTGACAGTCCTAAAATAGTATTTTTGTTGAGGATCAATAGTAAGAGTATACTTTTCTTGAAATTTTGAAATTTCTGCTTCAATGCTCAATTTTGGTATAGACCGTTATACTACGGAAATTAGTAATCCAGATATTCTAGTTCTAGGAAACGTAAGGTTTCATACAATTATTAAAATTTTGTGTAACTTTTCGAAAGCTTGTTGGTTACATAGAAACTAACTCAAAGTTTCTTATAGAAACATAGTGTAGAAACATACTTAAATATTACCAACTTTGTATAATATAACTAGTTACGATTTTTAAGTTATATTTTTCCACAAAATATTTTCATGATTATTCGGATTATTCGCACAAAAGGCCTACAAAATTCTATGTTTCCTTAATAATTTCATAATTATCTTTTTTTTTTTGTTAGCTACCCCACTTTTATCGATAACTATAAATAAAAGGCTTGGTCATTACCTTAGAAGAAAGATTATTTTAATATAAATAGCTTAAAAAAATGCGGATGGAAAAAAAATCGAAAAATAACTTTTTTAATAGTTTTTTTGATATATTTTTTAATATTAACAACGTCAGTATGATTTGTAACCTAGTCAACTATATCAGTCAAGACTTTTAATCACATTCGTCATAAATTATTTCCAATATTATAATTGTACTTATTATTATAACATAGATTATAAGGGTTTTTATGTCAAAATCTATCAAAATGTTTCTGTTAAAAAAAACTACGTACACTTTAATAAATTTAGTCTTCAGACACACTACATTTTTTTACACTCTGATTTTATGTCACATCTAAACTTTTTTCAATAAATTAGTAAATTTAATTTATATTTATAATTATTTTGAAAGCTTTAAAAAATATGTCTTATGGACTAAAAATAATTGTATAGGAATACTAGGCCTTGCATCCTCATAGAATGTGATCACAACAGTCTTTGTAGTCTTATCGATCCCAACCCTTACTTTGATGGTGGAAAACATGTTTGTAGATTGGAACATGTACAGGATATGGTTTTGGTATCGAAATGGGGACTGAAATCTCCTTTGTCACAGCGTAAGGTTTTTCAACCACAAATGGGACCTAAAAGTTGTTAATAATATCAACAATAATATTAATTCTGATTAATAGAACATTGAGAAACTCTCGATGAAATATAAAAAAGACTTAACTTCTTTTCAATAACGTAGGGTTCTAATTTTTCCACCGGTATTTCAACATTTTTCTCTATTACTACAGGCACTGGATGTGGTATAGGTACTTGAACTTGATAAGGCTGTAAATTAAATATTTGCTTAGGTATATGGTCTACTAACCTCAAAATAGATTAAATCTAACTTTACAAGTTGATAAAAATGTCTCTGCCTCTTATAGAATTTTCTTAAAAATAAATAAAGATTAACTATCTACTTTAAAAAACATTAGCATCGTTGTTCTATAAATAATTTCTCTTAAAAAATTTTTCAGCAAAATATTTTAATCTATAAATCTCCACGAAATTGAAGCGTTAGGATTTAAATATTTTGAATTTTACTCTCAATATATAAATTATGTAGAAATGAGCACTTTCATTATAAAATAGAAAATGGAATTACTTTTATGCATGATATTTTTAAAGTTCTTATGCGGCAAAATATTGTTAATGTTGTAACTGTAAAAGTCTTACAGCGTTATAAATCTTAATTATTAATTAAACAGCTTTTGCTTTTATAATCCAAGAGATTGTAAAAATTACGTTTTATGATCGTGAGCAAAATTTAAAAACCTTTAAAAATTTTCATTGACCTGCAACATTTTTTTTTTTTTACCTAAACACACTACAATCGACATATACTAAATATTTAAGGTGTAGATCGTCTACCTGAGGTATTGGTACTTTGATTTGCTGTTGTACCGATACTGGTATAGGATGTGGAATCGGGATAGCGTACTTTTTGTAAATAGGTATCTCTACGGGTTTCTGAGTTTCATGGTACGTCACTCCTGGCTCGTAACTTGCAGTTGTGACAACTACGAAACTGGCGATAATCTGTAAAAAAAGTGTCAGTCAACTATGATGATTCTTGTAATTGTGCCTAAAAAACATGAATAATTTATCGACTCATTGGTAGCATTGAAAGTGATAGAAAAGTTGAACAATTGTCATTCAAATAAATATACAACCGTAGAATAATGATTAAAACCATAAAATATATAGTTATAATACTTTTTATTACGCTTTTATAGTTTCACTTTGAAAAAATGAAAAATTCAAAGTTTTAGTTTTTCTACAATATATATATGAATAAATTTTTGGATATGAGTTTTACATATAAATAATAAGTTTCACATATATA